TGCATTTCCCAACGATAAAAAAGGGGTGGTTTAAGTTACTGTTAGCCTACATCATTTCACTGCTGGGCAAAGACTTCCCCTCTACGTTTTCAAGTTGCGGTCTTGCGCAAGAATAGGCCAATTTAGATCGAATTTGTCCAACTCATGTCGTCATCTAGTTCGTGGTCTGCCGCGACGCCGCCTCCGTCTCAGAGCTGTGGTTTTCGTAGAAAAAAAAACAGGCGAAACTCAAAAAAACCTATGTATATTTTATTCTTAATATATATTAATGATTTACCTTTTTACGTAAAGAAATTATGTGATATTGTTCTCTTTGCTGATGATACCTCCTTAATGTTTAAAGTTGAGCGTAGTAAACACAATTATGACAAAGTAAACAGTGCATTGTCGAATATACTTCGCTGGTTTGAATTAAATAACCTACTATTAAACCCTAAAAAAACAAAATGTGCGAATTCACTTGCAGGTAAAATCAGCCCCGCTCCCTTTGCAGTTAGAAACCTAACGGATATCATTATTGGTCGACTAGTATAATTAGTTATTTTCATAGTATTTTATCTTACGGAGTACTTATTTGGGACAGTGCCGCGGAAATTAATTCTATATTTATTCTTCAGTATTAAGCTCTTTGATCGATTTGGGAGTTAATTTTATTATTTTTTTCAGAAAAAATTGATTTTAAGGTAATTACAGAAAGAAATGAAATTCATTCATAGTCTAATCTTGTTTATTTATTAGTTAAAAATATAATTTAAAAAAATTAGGTTGATATTTACAAAATTTAGTCATAGTTTCGTTAAAAAATCATAACAAAAGGTAAAAAATTGGGCTATAAGTGTAGATGTATTATATGTTTTTATACAAAGCAAAAGTTTTCTTTTGCAATTTGACGTAAGTCGATCTTATACGTAGTTTTTGGACGATTTCAAATAAATCTGATGGATATTACGAAATTATGTGTATTTTTCGATAGTTCCAAGTTTTACTTTAGAGGCTTCAAATAAAGGTATTTTTAATATATTTTATCTAGTGGCAAAGGGCTTAAATATTTCTTCTATTTGGAAGTTATAAGAGTTCTTAGTCTCCATAGAAAAAATATATTAACAATAATAATAATCTTTATTGTCCAAAAAGTTTAACTTACAATATATTTTATACCTGAGGGTAACTCACACTAGGCAAAGCCTGTATCGTGAGTACCACAATTTGATTAACAAATAAAATATTGTTGCTCGGTTAACAATGCTAGTAAAAGTTATTATTATGACAAAGAGATATGTAAAAACTATAAAAATAGAAGTATTGCTTGTTTCATTTTGCATTTACAATAAGTGCTTGAAAAAAAAAAAGAAAAAACAAATGCTTAATTAATATGAACATAATATATATATATATATATATATATATATATATATATATATATATATATATATATATATATCTTTTTAAAAAACAATCTTTTTCAAAAAAGAGATACGAGGTAAACTATGAAACGCCATTTTAAGCCGGTGGCGTCTCAATCTTAATTTATTCACTATAAGCAATTAAAATTTTTTTTTTTACTAATAAAACAAAATTTAATCGCGCAGTAGTAGAGATACGACGTACATAGCATTAACTCGAAGTATGTGCCGAGATAAATGTACCGAAACGATCCTGCATCAAAGCCCCCTCGATTTGAACCCGCTCATTTAAATATGTTAAACATAATATTTACTTAACAACAGCGTCATGTGTCAATACGATTATCTGCAAATACTATCAAGAAATGGTATATAAGTGTCTTTTAGGTCGCGATTCTAGCACAACGTAGATACAAATAAATATCGGCAATGAAAATATTCAAACATATAGTTAACTTCAGCTCAATAGACAGTGCCGACTAGACACATACTTATGTACATACTAAATTATATTATTTAAGATATATACCTATACCTCGTCGTATTATTTATAGTTTATGGTAAATTATGTAATTACTTTAAAACATTCGGCATTGAATATATTATTACGAAAACGAAGATTTAACACCATCCTGTATTATTTTTTTGTAGAAAAAAACGAGCATGTATTTCTATAGAAACAAACGTGATCAGACAAATGAGCGAGAGATCCACATGATACTAAGTGGTTATCGTCGCACATTGACACCAAAAGCACAATATTATAGTGCTTAATCCCTCCACGACCGCGGACACGGCGGCGTTTTAGTTAACAATCTCATATTTCTTAGAAATTTAATTAATTTCTTAGATATTTACCTGGAGGTGTTAAAGGAAAACGTCAAGAGGAAGACCACAGATTGAACGTGCGTGGAAGAAATGAACGTGATGCACGTAAATTTGTGGGATGTCTAGCATCTAGGATATGTACATGACATTGGTGTGATGGTAGGATAGGTTTTAGATAGTCCCTGAATGTAGACTTATCGACAGTAAAAATTGTGTAGCGTTTTATTGTCAAATGGAAGAAGCTAAAATTGGAGTATTTTTAAGAGTATTTTAGCTCCATACAAAAGTACAAAGATTTAATGGTAGGTATGTATTATTGAAAAATATATTTCTTAATAAAAAAATTTTTTTTATATTCTCAATTCAACAAATATGTTTTATATTTATATTCAGTGCTACTTTAAACTTAAGTGCAGAAAAATATCCGAAGCTCGCGTAGCAATATAATCATTGGTTGGTTTAAGAAAGATTGTATGAATGTCATTAAGTATAAACTAGAGTCCTTCTTTGCTTTAAATCATACCTAAAGCATCATAACAAATATTTAGTCAGTAATACATTGTTCAGTCTATCTATACATAATCATATAATAAAATTGTAACTAAGCCGAATCTCTACATTAAATATATTTTGGAAAATATTATTGAAATAGATATTATTATCAATACAGAAGCCGAATCTAGTTTTTAGAATTTTCTGTCTGTGAGTGCATCACGGAAAAAGCACTGGAGGGATTTTGATGAAATTTGGTGATGATAGGTGCTTATCTGGGTCAACGTATACGATACTTTTTACAGCGGGAAAATATCTCATCACTAAGAAATCTATACTAAACTTTAAAACGTAAGTAGAGACGTACCCGAGCGGAGTAAGGGTAAATCGCTAGTTATGTGATATAATGTTTATAGTATGCTAAGCTGTCTACATTCGCAGTGCAATTACCATGCTGCATCATGCCACTGTTATCATTGTAGATTGGCATTTGTAGATTAAATATAGTTAAATTAATAGGAAACTAACTAGACCAGGTAAACATGTTTATTTCAAAAAATATTCACGCTTTACTTGTCGAGTCCGCGCTAAATGGCATAGTAGAATAAGTAATTAATATTATATCTATGCTTACCATTCATATTATAAGTTAACTTCTCATTAATTAATGAAATCCAACAATCTAATGAACATATATTGAAATGTATAATTAGTAAGTCCTTGTTTTTTTACAATGAAAAACATTTTTTACATACTCTCTTGATCGCTTCATATATGTTTAATCTTCTCACAATTGACGAAGAAATTGGGTAATGTAAATACCAAGAAATTTAACACCTATTTCTTTTTAGTTGGTAAAAATAAGTTATTTATTATACATTATGCTGTTTACCAATTTTGATTTTTTTTATTTACATTATACTTATTTAAAAGTTGCAATTTAATGTATTATAAGTTTCTACTAACTTATTTTAAATTAAACTTGATTTATTTGTATTATTGTATACTTTTCATTATTATGAAGTTGCTTTGAGACATACTTCTAAAAGATGTTACTAAAATGTTAGAGATCTCTTAAAGAGATTATTCATCCTTTGTACACCTTTGTGTACATTATTTGTTTTTATATGTATATTTTTTGTAATAATAATTTTTATATGAACAAAGATATATTCGTTTTTTTTGTCATGTTTTCTAACCATTTTATTATAAACTTATCACAAAAACCAAGTTATATACAAAATGAACAAAAAATATAATAAGCCAAATATATTTATAATAAAGAGCAGTAAATTATTTCGCAATTGCTGAAGTTTTAAGATTTCTTCAAAGAAATGATCGCTATGCATAATTAATCATATTCAACCAAACAAAAAAGAAAATACATAAATGTTTTAAATTTGAAAACAATCATAATATATATTATATTTATGTATTTATATATACAAAATAACATTATACATTTGTAACAACATATACAATGGTATATATCATCAGATGAATAACAATATAGACTAAGATTCTGTCAAAATCCATATCCATTATATATTTGAATTGTATAATAATAAATTAAATAGTTTAAAAGAATAAACATAATATGTAGATATAATTTAATCTAAAAGAATATTAATATGTTGTTGTCAAATCATGTTAAAGAGATAGGTATAACTCACAAAATATACATATGTAGAATTAATTATGTATATTTATCATAAGTAAATATATAATATTACAATTACATTCATTTAAACACAATACACACATTATTACTATGCAAAGCACATTTTCTTAATCACCCTAATTAATAACTTATCACATGAATATATTTACCATAAAATATAAAACAAAACAAAGATATACACCATTAACACAAGTACGGCTTCTATGTGGCGTGCACACAAGCGTCAAACAAAGTTGCTCTTAGCAATTTACGAAGTTACTAAAAAAAATTTAAATGTTTTATACAAGAATAATACTGTTATGAGAGCATTGCATTGATTAATAAATGAGTATGACATAGCATGGAGTCAGTAGACGGCTTACTTTATTAATATTAGAATTAGATTATGATTAGACTGAAGCTTCTTATTATTTATCAGAAAACATATCAGCTGTCATTGATTACGTCAGTAAAGGTAGAAACTATTATGATGAACTTATAAAAACAGAAAGTCATATTAATCCATATTTTATGAATGTTACGTTTACCTAAACCTAACAACAAGTAAAAATTAACAAATTATCGATCTGAGTTTCGCAGACTTACTGCACTCTTACCTTCGGATAGCTCCAAATCCAACTCTGCTAACTTATCTCTTATTTCATCCGGCAACTTTGATATATCAACACTTAAGTCAGCCATAGTTGAAAAGCACTTTTTCACTCAAAACAAATAAAGTTAACGACAAAAGTCTAAGACACCATCGTGACATCTAGCCATCTTGAATTTTGAATATTCTCTGTCCAACACCAGCAGTGAACTGAACGCAATGGTACTTAATGCTAACCAGATGTCGCTGCCAAGCAATTTCAAGTAAGTTTTCTATTACAAAGCAAAAAACAGAGTAATAATATAATTTTCACAGTATAGTGTGTTACGTAATTACATTTTATAAAGATGTTATTGTTACCTAGTTTGTTGGTAATCAGAACCCATGGCTTATATTATTAAAAAATAGGAACATTAAACAATTATCGGGCATACATTTTGAAAATTTTATGATAATATAAATGAACTACTTTTTCAATATGGCTATTTTTGGATAACTTTGAAAATTTTTAAAACATCTCTTTTTAAATCGTTAAAGTAAACTTAGTGTTAAAACAATTCATTATTCAAGTAATATTCGAAAGCATTTAGTTTTTAATTCGGTTTTTTTCTTTTATTTTAATATTTATAATTTTTAACCAGCATAATCATATGAAAGGGCAAAAAAAATTAGAAATAGGAACCAGTTAAATAATATTTTTAGGCCACTCCGTTTGTAAGAATCATAATAAAATATATATTGATAGGACACTCACGAGCAAAGAAATATATACGTTAAAAAGTTTTCTAATTCATATCAATATCATACTTTACAAAAGAAAATGTATGTGGGCAATGTGGGTGTTACATATTTTCATTTATAATTAATATTTATCAGAAATTATTATACAATACATTCAATTATCAGAATGCATTTTTACAATTTGACGTTATTTCTGATTACAGTGTTATAAAATTAGTTTATTTATATTTTATTTAAATTCCTTTAAATAGCAATTGATATAATATATAAATGTGTAAAGTTTTATTAATACTGCATGATTTCGTGTGAAATCAGTCCTGGTACTTGTAATGATATAAAAAAAGTGTGTGCAACACACACATGTAGAAGTGAAACTTCAGAAAAGTAACCAACGAGAGAATGAGATGATTATAGAATATCAGGAGTATGATATTCGTAAGGTTTATTTTTTCATAATATTTTTACCAAGTTAAAAAGTTATTTTACATTATATTTAACATATATTAGATTACATATTATGTATTCAGTATTAATTTTATTATTTTTTATTTTCTGTGTAATGTATTTATTATTTTTTATTTTCTGTGTAATGTATTCTATCTTATTTTCTCGACAGCGTAGTCTCTTTGTCGTGAAGCATTTTCATTCCATCGAGTTTCAAATCGTAACGATTCTAAAAAAGTATCACTTCAACATAATTTCTTATCATACGATCGTATTTTTATAATGCCTTTAACATTTAAAGTTAGTAATGATTTTTTTATTAATTTGCATATGGACATTCTGCCGTCTTGGTGCTGTTATATATATGAAAGAATTTATTTCAAAGAATTATATTATAAAGAATTTTATCACCTTCAAAAAGTAATTTTAAAGTATAGACAAAGATTGTTTTCTATTGCTATTTAATATAAATATAGACAATCGTTTTTTACTGCATGGTAACATTAAGGTCTAGATAATAATCCGGTAGGTGACGCTAGGTGTTTTCTTCTTCCCGTCATTCTCAGCCTAGTTTTTCTTTTTACGTTTAGTTTGATGGTAGTTGGTTGTAAATTTATTCTTGTAATGGCTGCCACGCTAAAAGTATAGCTTATTGGTTATGTCATGTTCAAGTGTCTTAAGAAGGGTGTGTTAAGCGGGTAACTCAACAAGTGTTTAGAACAATGATTGCATGAAAGCTGTTTTAATATCTACCTCCCTGGATCGTTTCTTCTTTCATGTTTCCTTTTTTGGCAATTAAGTTATGGACTCGGCGTTTGTGTATTACATGTTATAAAAACATAATATATGCTACGTAAAAAGTGTACATCGGGACCATATTGAGTGTCAAGTGTATTGAAGATTCTTAAAATGACGGATCCGAGATCGTCGTCTGCTCTATTTAAGAGAGCCGAACAGTTAAAAAGATGGGAGGAATCGGATACCAACAAACAATGTTCGACGCCGAAACGAGCTTCAAGGATACAGTTTTCATCAGGAATAGTGTTTTTGGCGGCATGTACTGCAGGGGACAAGGACGAAGTACAGAGATTGTTGAAAATGGGTGCAGATATAAACACCGCGAACGTGGATGGTCTTACGGCACTCCATCAGGTAACTTTACGGTTTTAAATTTTATTTATTCTTCAGAAAAATATAAGAAATAAGAATGGTTTGGTATTTTCTGGAAAATGATGGAGGGGAGAGGGGGTGGGATGATCGCCTTTCTTGAATTCCTTACCATACTTTAAACAGTACATTTTAAATTATAAAAAAACATCTCACAACAAGTGCTTTCATTTTAAAATATGTCACAAGATACAATCGGCAAATTTTTATTGTGTCATTTCTTACCTAGAATTAATTTATAAGTACAATTATTTTAATAACATAACATTTCAATATACATCTGAGATCATTGAATTTTATATCAGACAACTTAACTCTTTCTTTCCAGTAGTGTTAGAGGACATTAATGATGGAAAGATATACCAATATTCTAAAGATTCTATATATTAGGAATTTGATATCTTATTGTGCTCTTTAAATTCTAATAGACATATAAAATGGGTTATTTTATGTATAAGTTATATGGGCATTATAAAGTTATTTTGTCCGACTCTCTAAAAGTTTAAATAAGGCACCGAGTTTATTATATACAACTGTTTGTTTCAATATTTTTAGTATTTAATGAGTTTTTAATTAGGATATGAATAACTGGATTTATATTTATTTATATATGTAGTTCTGTTTTACTATTATTGAGTATATAGTTATAAGACTTCATTTTTAATTTTTTACAACTTTTTATGTTATTTAGCTATTTATAGCTATTTTGATTAAAAAATAATTATAACATTTATTTTTCATATGTATAATATGCATTCCAGTATTAAGTAATTAATTTTCTACCTTGTACATTGTTTTTATAAGCTTTTTATCACCTTAATAATACACCAGCAAATCATAATTTTCTAAGGACAAAAATATACTAAATGTCAATTCTAGTATTACTAACTTACATTGCCATCTTTTTAATTATTCTTATATAGTAACTTTTTATAATTTAGAAAGTCTTTCCGTACTACTTTAATGTAGTGTAGCAATGTGTCTTAATGTAAGTTTTAAAATTAATTCCAGCATTTTAGCTTTAACTTTTCAATACACACAAGTTAAAGTGAAACTTAAATATAATTTACATAAAAATAATTATACGTATAGTCTGTTTTTTAATCTCAGAGAATAAATTGAGACATGCAAATGTCAAATTTACAAATAATTCTGCAAGCTCTTGTGCAGTGTTTACCTGTGATATCAGTTTGTTGAATTGTAACATTTTATCTTTATTAGATGATTCGTTTCAAATTATATTCCAAATTCAAATTCACATTATTAATTCTAAATCTCTAAATATATTTATTAATTTTAAATCATTAAGTATCACTAAAATCCACATTATTAAATTTAAATTTGAATTATTAATTTTGTATTGTTATGTTTTAAATAAGTACCTACACATTATTTCAGAATAACTTATTATAAAAAAACAATACTTGATTTTATTAATGTTAATTTTAGATAGTGGCACATCATTATTTAAGAGGTGCAAAAAACTGGCAACCCACATAATGTCAGTTTGTCACTGAGATTAAAAAAACACACTGTAGTACCATGTGTATTCATTGTTAAAGTTTTTATTAATAAGTATGCTTTTATAATATAAAAAAAATCTTATGAGGAACAATATGTAATAGTCTGGAATGTTGTATTATTTGGCAAACTTTAAATTAGAATTCACATCTACTTACAAAAATAGAAATAAAAACCTGTTTATGTAAAATTTAAAATGGTTTTAATATTGAGCAGAACAAAATAAATGACTATAATTTCTTTTTAACCCACTATAAGGATGAGGTTTTTAGTACAGCAGCTGTATGTTTTTTTATATATCTTATACAACATAGTCACTTTTAGGTTCTTATTGTAATAAATTTTATATACCTAACTTTATATCAAAAATATTGGTTATTAAATTTATGGCTTAAAATGATCTCCTAAAAAAAGTACCCTCTGTATTGTATTGATTGCCTTAAACTTTCGAGCAACATCTAACTAGTATACCTTCTTCTTTAATGATAAAATTAATTATTTTTTTGTATGTTTATCCTCTATGTGTCCATAAACTATTCATCTAATAGTGGTGAAACTTTGATAGTATTTTGTCCTGCGTAGCTCCGGGAAGTTTCTTCACCAAAAAATATGTATATTTTATTTATATGTTTGTCGTCTATGCGCTTATTCCTAAGCCACTTGAGGTTTAAAGCAAGGGTAAGTTTTATATAAAAATATTATCTATACATATAATAAAATTCTGAGTTGAATCTGTACAATAAATATTTTTTGGTGAACTTATTGTAGGTAATAGCCATTATTAGAGATACACAGACTGAATCTATAGTTTTTAGACTTTTTGTCTGTCTGCCTGGGAATGCATCACGAGAAAACCACTGGACAGATTTAGATGAAGTTTGGTATGATAATAGCTGGACTAGACCTGGATAAGAATCAACATTTAGGATACTTTTTACTGCGGGAAAATATCTCATCTCTGAGCAATCTATACTAACTGTCAAAACGTATAAATATATTTGAAATGTACATAAGTTGTATACATTTTATTATTTTTTACCGTTAAGGATTTTATCATATACTACCGACTCACACTCGCTTCGCTCGGGTTCGTCCCTAACTTGATCAAGTTAGGGACGAACCCGAGCGAAGACTTTCATTCCCATTTTCATCCCCTTAAAGGATGGTTTCCGGGATAAAAAGTATCCTATGTCCTTCCCAGAGTCTCAAATTATCTTCTTACCAAATTTCATCTAAATCGGTTCAATAGATCCAGAGATTACCCTCTACAACGTCACAAACTCACAAACTTTACCTCTTTATAATATTAGTATAGATGTATGTGATACCTTGAACATTTTCAAGATCTTAGCAGCTTGCTTTGATTAAAAGAAAGCTCGAAAGTCTTTATATTACTTTATTAGTTCTCATGTAAATTATACTGTCGTAATTTGAAATAGAAAGAGTAGAGAGAGATAAAAGTTCTTTACATCGAAATAACGACTTCATAAATTCACATTGGCACAGAAATTAACTAGTTAGGTATGACCAAAACGGCATAACATAAAATTATGTTTACAAGATGAGTTTTGTGTGAGTTATACATATGAAACAACTTCCGCGCCAATCATAGTTTCTTCGAGAATGCGGTACTGCATGTCACGTGTCTTGAGTTTAGCACTCGGAATAACTTTCGATTGTTTCGACCGACCACCAAACGTTAGCAGTCCAGAATTAGAAGCTGATAGTGTCCACCGCTCTGTCCGTATAGCGAAGCAGATTTTAGCGTTATTCCACCTACATATGTATTTTTTTTGGGAAAAAATCCGAATAAAACTGTTGAATGTTAAAAAAACGATTTCTTTGTAATATTATATCATTGCAAATGTAAAAATTTCAAAATTAATTTGGTGTGTTAAGTAGTTAGTCTAATTAGAGCTTTTACAAATTATTTATTAATAAATATCATAAATTTATCAAAATATGCAATAAATTTTTTTTATCACTTATTTTATTTACAATATTTGGAACAATATAATTTTAAATTCTAATAATGTCTTTCCAACAAAAGAGATATACTGACATCTTAACTACTATTTTTTTTTAAATATCATAAAATGGTACCTATGGAGTGATAAGTGTTTGCTAAAATCAGATTTGATTCTATGAGGATTGGATTCTATGAGGTATACGCACCAGAATTTGCCAAATGGCTTGCACTTGCAAATTTATGTTTGTTTCCTTATTACTATAACTGCGAAAGCAACTAACTTTGCCTATAATTACGAGAGATTGATGTTTTTTTTACGTAGATACTAGATATAGTAGGACTTACTACTACCAGATACTTTATAGGCTGAAGTGTAACATACGGCTACTGGTAAGTTCGGTATCGTATCCATAGATTCTATTTTTTCGTGTTCGATCCGGCAATGCGAGCTTAAAACGTACTTATAATAACTAGAAAAGTCACTTCTAAATCACAGGTAGTCAGTTCACTAAGTTCAATGCTATAGATATTTAAAAGTAGTTATAAAGAGGCAATACTAGCATGTATTTTATTGTTGTATTTAAGTTGTCTAAACTAAGCAAACAGGCCGTGCCTGCAGATATAAATTAACAAGTCTTAATAGACATAATTAATATGACCCTAGATTGTTTGTCAAGTAACCTGACATCTAAGAGGGTCTGGAGCAGTAGACGGATTAGACTTTTACTTATGTTGTATTATGTAAAATTTAGTTGCAATAGTATAAAGAAAAATAATAATAAAACAATTTTTTTGTGCTTTGCTCAAGTTTATAAACACGCCCAGGTTTCAGATGGACTTTAACATTTTGTCTTAAAAATATAATTTATGTAATTTATCCTCTTCTTGCATGATTACGACAACGGTAATTTCTTACTGAGTTATCTTTTAACATTTTTGTAACATTCCTATATTTATTTAATTTATTTTTCTTTAGAACTTTACAGTAAAAAAACAAATAAATCTTTGCATTACTTCTTAAAATCATTTATCAGGATACGTTTGCTTGTATTTCATTTGCTATTTTTGTAATTTTTTTATGTTAATAAAATTATAATTATCCAATAAATTAGACTCTTCATGTAGTCACGTCTTTTACTAGCAGATTAAGCTATTAAATATATTTGTAATAGGCGCCTGCGAGCAAAACACCGATAAGATCACTGTGTATCAAAAATCACCTAAGTGCCTTGTTTATATTTTTTTATATGTAGGTACTAATATTCCGTGATAAAAACTTATTTAGTGAGATTTCATAAACTATTTTCTGCAAAATCATAACAATTAATATAATAAGAATAATATATGTAGGTGTAATGTATATGCAATAATTAAATTGATAAATTTAATTTTATAATAATAACTAGCCGCTCACCCTCGCTTCGCTCGGGTTCGTCCCTAGGTACGTTTGAAATTGATATAAATAGTTGATAGCCATCGTTATCCATGCATTTTA